CTAGCCACATACACTTGAGCTTGTGAGTTGGAATCCAGCCCAGGCCTGCCAAACGATAATGACAGCTGCAACCAAAAAATAGCCAGGCATTGTGGCAGGAGCCTATGGTCCCAGCTAGTTGGGAGGCAGAGGCAGGAGACTCACTTGAGCCCAGGAGTTAAAGGTTGCTGTGAGCTGTGATGCCACAGCACTCTACCCAGGGTGAAAGCTTGAGGGTCTGTCTCAGAAAAAAAAAAAGTGACTTCATAAGTACCCTTACTTCTTGCATCAGAATTGGTATAATCTGATATATATTTAATGAAAGAGGGACATGTATGTATTTCTTCAGATTTCAGCATGCATAATTCATATGGGGAAATTAATTGCCATGTATCTGTGTTTTAAATTTAAAAGACAAACATCTAAAACCCTCTCTAGCCTCTCCAGTTAAAGGAACTGGCTTCAGTTTGTAGAAGAAATGCAAAGGGATTGATAAGTTTTACCTCTGTTCTAGAATAAGGGATAATTCCAAATTTCTTTAATAAGCAAGGGAGGCCTAAAGGTCAGTATAGCTTAAGATGTTCAGTATTGATTTGCTCTTTCACTTTTATATTTGGGACATGCTGGAGAAAAATGATTAAAAATGCCGATAGTTTCTGATTTGAATCTAAATCTTAAAAATCTATCAAGCTGGGAAAGTGTAATAATTTGTTAAATTTTGTACATACCTCAGAGACAACCTAGTAAAATAGTTCCCCACCCCCTTTGTAAAAGCCGTTAGTTTCTTTTATCAAAAGACATCTGGAAACTGCATCACCTAGCTCTAGTGGAAATCTTTCCATAGCTACTTTAGAAGGTGGTAGAGCTTTAACTGCCTACACTCTTAGAAAGCAAGGCTAGTCCTATTCACCAACTAGACAGAAATGAGAGACTGAAAAAGTACCCAGTTCTCAGTCAGAGAACCGACTCTTCAAATTCAAGTGTGCATTAAAATCTTGGAAATCTACTTCTTTAATGCCACTTCGATACCAATAAGCACCACATATAAAAACCTAATGGAACGGAAAACTGGAAGTTCACGCCTCTCTTCTTCCTTCTCCTCCAGTTGTCCCTAACCCAGAGGAAAAACCTGTTTAATAAGTGCCCTACTTTCAGCACCAAGAAATACAATATTTAGGAAGCAATGCAAATAAAGAGACCAGAGGAATGTAGGGATGATTAGTTGTTGATTTTTCCCATCTGGGCCCATCCATACCTGCATTCCTCATCACTTTTGATGAGGGGGTCAGAGCCTACTGTGCCCACCAGGAACTTGGGACTAAGCAAAGGCAAACGAACATGCTGCAGCACCTGTGGGAAATACACACTGTTAAAGGCACAGCTCCCATCTGCAAGGTGTTTAAAAGAACACATGACCCAGGCTCCCCTGCTGTGCTTCCAACTGTTTGGGGAACTAATCAAATACCATAAATAAGGAAGAAGGAAAAGCATAAACACTAACCTAAAATTAGATTTATTTTAACCATCAATTGGTAATGCAGAATATTCAGAAAATTAAAAGCACACTAATCTCACTTTAGAATTGCTACTTTAGGCTCGGTGCCTATAGCTCAACCGGCTAAGGCACCAGCCACATACACCTAAGGTGGCGGGTTCTAATCCCCAGCCCGGACTCGCCAAACAACAATGACGGCTGCAACCAAAAAATAGCCGGGCGTTGTGGCGGGCGCCTGTGGTCCCAGCTACTTGGGAGGCGGAGGCAGGAGACTCGCTTGAGCCCAGGAGTTGGAGGTTGCTGTGAGCTGTAATGCCACGGCACTCTACCCAGGGGGACAGCTTGAGGCTCTGTCTCAAAAAAAAAAAAAGAATTGCTACTTTAAGCTTGCAGCAATGTGAGTGCTCCTATAACTGGACTCAAATTAATTAACAATCCAGAAGAACGTACTGTTAAATTGCTAAAGACGGTTAAGGATGGGTCTTAAACATTTCTCACTCAGTGACCACATATGTCCCAATTCAACTCCTTACTCTTCAGAGTGTGGTAGAATTTCCAAGTAATAGGGAAGGGAAACGTGGTAGGATTTCCAAGCTATAGGGAAAGAGCATCCTTGCTTTCTTTTGTTCATTGTATACAGTTTAAGTTTTGAACTGTACTATAGCTCAAATGTAGAACTGATCCAAAATAGAGGGGAAACAAAAGAGCAAGAAGTCCAAAATAATAAGCAGTCAAAATGCTTTTAAAACCTTATTTCCTAGCCAGGTGTTATGGTGGGCACCTAGCCCAGCTGCTCAGGAGGCTGAGGCAAGAGGATCTCTTGAGCTCAAGAGTTTGAGGTTGCTGTGAGCTCTGATGCCATGGGACTCTATCCAGGGTGACAAAGTGAGACTATTTCAACAAAACAAAACAAACAAAACAAACCCAACCCTCATTTCCTTTATTAATTGGAAAGATAAATTTTCTTACAGTCTAACATACATATAAAGGAGAGTGACTATTTCACTTTTATAAGAGAAATGCATCTAGTACAAAGCAGTTTCCTAGAGAAGCATTTCTATCATTACCTGGGGTAACTGAGGACGTCTTTCTTGAATACTGTATTTGACCCAGGCCATCACTGCATTGAACACTTGTTCCTCACTGCGAACGTTTAGCTCATCACTAGATATTATATCAATGAGTTGATTAGCTGGAAGTAACATAAACTCTTCACTCTCCATTACCTGTTTAAAGTTAGGTAAGAAGAAAAGAAAAAAGAAACTGATTACATTTATTATCTCAATGTTTTTCTTCAGGGTTATGGGACAAAGCTCTCTATTCCACAATGGAACTGAAGTTTAAAAGAAGAGAACAAAAGAAAGTACAGAAGACACAAAAATTAATGAAAGTGATCATTTGTGATTCAAGCAATTAAAAAATGACTTTTCATTCTTTTATAAGAATAAAGGATCAAAATAAAAATTTATATTCATAATAGGCCAAATTAACACCAAATTATAACTTCAGAAATATAAGAGGCATACAAAAAAATCAGGAAAAGCTTTCAGAGGAAGATTAGTTGTTAAAAGTAACTAAGGCAGAACCACCAAGGGGGAGGCTTAAAAAAAGAATGAGGGTGTCAGCAATTTTGTAAGCAAGAATGAATGTAATGAGATAATCAGACCACACCAATGAAAACTACTAAGGACCAAACAACTCTGATATATATGCCAGTGAGAAACTACAAACAAACCAATGCTTTACCATTACCCAACGCCAGGGAACTGTGAAAAGGAAGATGAGATGGCAACAAGGTTATTACCCCGTGGTCCAGGCCAGCTACAAATTCCAACACCCAGTAAGTCTTACAAGCCTGTATGTCAGGACACAGTGTAAAAAGGACAGGGTGCACTGCTGCCCTCCACTTGGTTCACCTGATTACTCAGGAGACTGCGCTACATGTGATGTCTATTAGTACAGGTAGGATATGGTTAAGAACTCAAATTTCCACTGTGCTAATCCATATTCTCTTGGGACACAGTCATTCTCATATTCATCAAAAAATGTCAAAATATTTAATAGGATATGAGACAGGCCATAGAAACAATTTAAATATTTGATTAAGAATGTTTTCCTCAAGTGTTATACATTAGGAAAAAATAAAAATCTCAAAACAATTTAAGGCAATAAGGCCAGTTATAATAGAAATACCAATGAGCACTTCAGTTTTTATGCCACAAGTCTTCAAATCATCTTGAGAGAATTTCTGAAGTATAGGCAGTTAAATAGATAATATTTAAATTTTAGCTGAGGTTGCTGTCCGGTAACTTAGTAATTAGAAAGGATGCATTTTACTCTCTGTGGTAGGGTTGCTAAATTTAGCAATACTTATACGAAAAGTTATTTGTTGTTTACCTGGAATTTAAATTTAAATGGGTGCTCTGTATTTGACCCTGTGTAGGTGACTGTAAATCCAGAGCCAAGCTGAAATTCAGGCCGACCTCTATTAAGTGTGAGGGTCTTCTCGGCATGCCAAGTTGAAGCCATGGCTGCGTTTTGTTTCCTTTTCCCTATTTTCCTTTCTTTCTGGTTTTTTCACTTAAGTACATGTATGGTATCATTTATCTTTATGAAGTGCCTTAACATTCCTTTTAGATCTCGTCAGAGTATAAATTTTTTCCCAACACAGTGATTATAAGTCAAATGTTATACAAATACCAGTGATCACCAAGTTTAGAGTTTATGAATAAACCACTAAAACATAAACTCACTTTGTGGAAACATGAGATGGCAGGAAGACATGAAAATCTGGGTGAAAACATATTTGTTTGGCATTATAAGCAAAGAGTAAAACTAATATTCTCAATAAATGAAATCTGGCTAAATGCCAATTCTCCTTTTTCTAACACCAAGAAAAAGATATTAGGACATACAATTAGGGCAAATCTAGCACTGAAGTCTATCCTTCAACCAAACAACCAGGCTAAGAAAATAATGCTTCAAAATGTCTGCTCTTAAATAAGAGTTTGGAGGAGATCTGGACTTTAGGCCACTCGCTTTGTTTTTTTCCTTGAGACAGAGTTTCACTTTGTCACCCCCAGTAGAGTGCCATGGCATCATAGCTCACAGCAACCTCAGACTCTTGGACTCAAGCGATTCTTTTGCCTCAGCCTCCCAGAGCCACACACTATTATGGTAATAAGCTTACTTTTAGTTTCTTCAGATGACTACAGATGCTATCTGAAGAATGAATAAAGCTGAAAACAAACAAGAATGAATAAGCAAAGTCACCAGGAGTTAGAAGTATATGGCAACTTTAGTGCTGTTGAGTTTAAAGACAATTTTAAAATTCATGTTTTATTGGCAAGAGTAATACCGTATGAAGTAAATTAGGTCTAATGAAATAGGAAGAAGTTAAATACACATTTGCTCAAGATAAAAATTACTTAAATGAGTAATAAGTGTTAAGCTGTACAAGATGATTTTTTTTTTTGGTACCTATATGTAGCTAGTCTAGTCCTTGGACAAGGGTAAGATTTCCTCACTGAGATTTCATCATGGTATTATCAGGTTCACTTTGGAGGCAGTGGTAGAACTAGAAGGGATTTCAAAACTTTCTCTACTGTTAAGGATATGCTTCAGACATTTGTGAATACTTTAGATCTAAAACAAAAGTTATGGCTAAAGCAGGACATTTAAAAAACCCTTTATTTTAAATGCATAGTTCAGTAAGTTTTGATAAATTATATACTCACATAACCATGACCACAATTAAGATATGGAACATTACTACTTCCCCCAGGGTTCTATAGCAGAAAATTCTTAATGCAGGGTCCAAAGTCATTGGTTTACTATTTTGGAGATACTCAGTGATGTCAAAACTTCATTTTTGGACAGTGGATTTGATATTTGAAAATACCAGAAAGAAATTAAGTCAACTTTGTTAAAGAAGGCATGTGAAAAAGTTAGGTTATATTATTTTGAATGTGTATTAAGTATGACAATAAAATAATGTCTCTATTAACTTTATTTATTCATTTATTTATTTGAGACAGAGTCCCACTTTGTCACCCTTGGTAGTGTATCTTACAGTCATAGCTCACAGCAATCTCAAACTCCTGGGCGCAAGCGATTCTCTTATCTCAGCCTCCTGAGTAGCTAGGATTATATATGCCCGCCACAACACCGGTTCCTTTTTTTTTTTTTTTTTAAAGAGACAGGGTCTTGCATTTGCTCAAGTTAGTCTTGAACCTGTAAGCTCAGGCAATCCACCCGTGCCTCAGCCTCCCAGAGTGCTAGGATTATAGGTGTGAGCCACCACGCCCAGCTTCTATTAACTTTAGAGAATAAACCCCACTTAGTCATGGTGTGTTTCCATTTTTATTTTTTGTTGGAATTAATTTACTAATAGTTTGTTAAGCATTTTTGCAACCAAGTTCATGAGCGATATTGATCTGTAGCAGTTTTTCTTTTTAGCATCTGTGGTTTCAATATGAGGATAATTTTGGTGTTATAAATGAGTTGGTAACTTCCTACTCCTTTTTCTGAAATAATTTGTATACAATTAGTATTATTTCTTCATTAAATGTTTAATAAAATTGGCTTGGCGCCTGTGGCTCAAGTGGCTAAGGTGCCAGCCACGTACACCCAAGGTGGCGGATTCGAATCCAGCCCAGGCCTGCCAAACAACAATGACAGCTGCAACCAAAAAATAGCCAGGCGTTGTGGCGGGCGCTTGTAGTCCCAGCTCCTTGGGAGGCTGAGGCAGGAGACTCCCTTGAGCCCAGGGGTTGGAGGTTGCTGTGAGCTGAAATGCCTTGGCACTCTCCCCAGGGGGACAGCTTGAGGCTCCTGTCTCAAAAAAAAAAAAAATAAAAGTTTAATAAAATTTACTATATGAGACTGGCATTTTCTTTGGAAAGAGGTTTTTAAATTATGAATTCAATTTTTTTTCATAGATAAAAGGTTATTGTGGTTTTCTGTTCCTTCTTGAGTTAGGTTTTCTTAAGTCAGTTTTTACAATTTGAGTTTTCCAAAGAATTTGCCCATTTCATTTCAGTTTTTCAATTTACTGGCAAAATGTTGTTATTAATATTCTCTTGTGATCCTTACAATGTATGAAGGATTTGGAGTGATAGCTCTCTTTTATTCCTGGTACTGGTAATTTGTACCTTTTTTTTCTTATTAGTATAGCTAGAGGTTCAGTTCTTTTGAAAAAGCCAGTGTTTTTTGCTCTAACCTTTATTCTTGTTTTCCTTCTACTTAATTTGGGTGTAATTTGCTCTTCTTTTTCTAGTTTACAAAAGTAACCACTGAAACAGAAATGATAAACTTCCTATATACCAAAAGAAATTAAGATGAAAGCTAAGAAGACAACATAGAGACAAATATAGTAAGCATAACTAAATCAGTACTATTTATAAAAATATGACCGTTGAGAACAAAGGTTATCAGAGGTAGCAATAAATGCAAATGAGCTTAAACTGCCTACTTAAAGAAATAGACTTTTAGGCAGGATGTGGTAGCTCACACGTGTAATTCTAGAACTTTGGGAGGCCAAAGCAAGAAGATGAATTGCAGCTAGGAGTTCAAGACCAATCTGGGCAACATAGTGAGTCCTCCTTTTTACAAAAAATAGAAACACTAGCTGGGCATGGTCGCATGTGCCTATAGTCCTAGGTGGTCCAGAGGTTCAGGCGGGAGGATCACTTGAGCCCATGAATTCCAGGTTACAGTGAACTATGTTCACACTGCTGCACTCCAGCCTATGTGAGAGAACAAAACATGGTCTCTTAAAATTTTTTTCTTCAAATTGTCTCATAATGCAAAATCCATTCTATGCTAATTCAAGAAAAATACCTCCTAAGATTTCATGATCCAAAAAGGCTAAAAGTAACGAGATGGCCAGAAATATGCTAAGCAAATGATAACAACAAGAAAACAGAGGTTGAAATCTAGATATCAAATTAGAACCTAGGCAATAATTAAATATAATAAAGGAGAACACTTTAAAAGCTTAAAGTCACAATTTGCAATCAGTACTTACAGATTAATATAAGGAAAAATAGAAATACACTAATAAAAGACATCAACACACAGGTTCATGTACAAAAATAGGAATAAAAAAAGCTAAACAACATAATATGGTAGACCTTATGGGTTTTTATCAAATAATATGAGAACAGAACTAGAAATACATCTCATCCTCCAGCACACATGGAATATTCAGAAAAACTGATCAGAT